GGCTTTCAGCTTCAGCTGCAGCACTGCGGGATAACGACTGATGGCCCTTTCCAGCCAGGTGGCAGACACAGCAATAGTCTTGGAAATACTAGTTTTAATGTTCGGAGAAAAAAATATGTCTGCCTGATGCTTGCATTTTCAAGTTTCTCTTCATCATTAAAAAAAAAAAACCCATACAAAAACTCTCCACATCTCCACTTTATCTTTCAGATTGTTAGGGAGAGCACAGTGGGGACATTGCTACATGATTTGCATTGAAATAGTGCAAATTAAGTACCGTGCATTTAATTACTTTTAAATCTTTTCTCTTGAGGATAATTTTGGTGTTTGGCACAGATAGTAGCAACAGCTCACCTATCCTAGAAGTGATGAATGCCAACTCTGTTCTGCGGATGCGAATGTTAACGTTCAGACTTGCATCTCATTAGGAAGACTATTTGGTGATAATGATAACCTTATCTAAAGCATGAACAGATTTCTCAACACATTCCTCACCATTTTCTGAAGTCTTTAATACCAGCAGACTGGATTCCTAGCCTGATGTGTTTCTGTGCTGGTAGGTATTTACTTTTATTTAACATTTACTTAGTGCTCCTCTGTTATGTTTTCCCAGGGAAAGCATATATTTGAACATCCTAACAAATCCTCTTTCACTAGTCCTGTCTACAGTCTGGACTCCAAGATTTTGAGGAAGCATCCAGGTCGCTTTTTCCAGCTAAAGGCTAGGGATTTCAAAATCTCTGAAATAAGATTTGTGCTTTACTGTTTTACATAAAATCAGTCATACAGTTGGTTTCCTTCCTGTGTACTTTGAGTGATATGGACAGTAATTCCATGTCTTGCTCCTAGAATTGCCTTTTGAATGTGGTGTATATATTTACGGCAAGCACACTGTGAGGCTTTCTGTTACCCTTTGCAGTGTGATGCAAGAAAGATACTATTGTTTTTAAAATACGTTTTTCATTTAGTGCACTCTTGGAAAAGCACTGAAAAGCAGGGAAAGTCAGGGAAAGCAGCAGAGGCTTCTCTGGGAGTGAAGAGAGAAGGAAAGGGAAGCAGACTGTACAGAACACCAGAGATGAATGGCAGGTGTCATTCATCACTGTTTCGTATAAAAGTAGTTCAGGTAGTTCCTCCTCGCCCTTCCCACCCGTATAGACAGACAGTCAACTTTATTTTCACTTACAACAGGATGTTGCCCATAATCAGTGCCTCAGAAGCCCTGCAGAGTTTGTGTCTGAAGTTGGTCAAACTTAAAAAGTGTCTTTGACTTCATCCACAGAGGTTCTTGATATTAAACTGCCCCAGCAAGGAAGTCACTGAGATAACGTGTACAATGGCGAAATCTTTGGGCCGTTCCAGTTGTTCCATGGCAGCCAGGCTCCGAAGTAACAGAGCGAACCAGCACCTCAGCTGGGGTTTCTAGTCAGTCTCTTGTGTCAAACACTCCATCCACTGAAGAATAGGTGAATCCTCTGATGTTTTGTCAAATATGCATGGTTTTTCTGAGTAAAGCAGAACCTCATTACAAATGACCCTGAGCTTAATTGCAGCTGATTATTTTCAGTGTTAGAAATCATGTGCCCAGCATGTTGGACAAAATTTAAAACAACTCCATAAAGAAGTAACCTGGGTGAGGCTTTACATTCCTTCTGTGGAGTGTTGCCCTGTGTAAGACAACTACAAAACCTCTGTTAACGTCTGCTGGAATTTGTCACCTATTTGTTGATTTTCATCACTCTTGAAAGAAAGGTGTTTAGAAACTTCTGCTTTGGGTGTTTCAAAGGAAACACGATTTAATTACGTCTTTCATTCCATGATTTGTAATGAATCGGTAAAGATGCATCAAGAACAATTCCAGGGCAGATGATTAGATGAGACTTTTCCTGGCTCTGGTCAGCGGAGTGCACTATCAAGTTGTTTATTCCATTGCAGTTTCCATCCTTTTTCATGACCAGTACTAGCACTAGCTCTCTTGTCTATGTAGTCACTTTTGCCTCCATTCTGAAGTTGCTTCTGAAGACTCAAGATGTGAATTTGACTGATGACTACCAGGTGCTGTTTTTCAAGGAGGTAGATAGTATAGAGTCTTAACACCCCAAGGCAGAAATGCAACCTGGCATCTTCCCGGGTTGCAGGAGCTTTTGAAGATCGCTCTGGATCATGGAAACCAACCCTGGGAGCTCTTCTCCTGGGATTGCCAGATGACAGCTTACTCAAAGCATACTCTTGATTTTCACCATGCTCACCTGTGCTTAGGGATGTTTGTCGTACTTGTGCATGTATCTGAAATGCAAATATTCCCATGGGAATTGGGAGATTTTTGCTGCTTTTTGCAGCATTGGAGCAGCAGAAGGAGCAGACTCTGTGAAGCAGGTGCTGATCTCCCTGCACTTAGTCTTTGAGATCTGCATTGCCCAGAATTCTTGGACAAGAATGTGAGCTGAGCTTTCTAGTAGATCTGGGTTATAGTTACAGACAAGTAAATGAGTTTTGTTGTTTCATGTTAGATAAATCCCATGGGCTGCAGGGATCTCATCACCCAAGGAGGGAGAACCAGCAGAATCCCAAGAGTGGTGAGATTTACAGATGTGTTCATAAGGATACGTTTGCTGATGTGTTAGTTACAACATTAAAACTGCAAAGTTTGATGTCTGGATGACTTATTCATAGCATTAATTAGCTATTAATTTGATCCTGCAGAGTTTTCATGCTTATTTATGTGTGATATATGTGAGAATTTTTTCTTGAGGCATTAATTTTCAGTAGATTTTTCTATAGTTGAAGATACAGCAAGTAGTATCAGCAAGCCATGCTCTTACTGATGCACTTTTATAGTATCTTTTTCAATTATAACTTTATCAATATCTACATTAATATTAATCCTAATACAGATCAAGAAATAAGAAAGCAGGATACAAAATACTGTGATGCTGTTGATAACCAAAGTAGTAAAACAGATGTGCTATAAGCATGGTAGCACAAATGGACCATAGAAGAATCTCTTATGAATGGGCCATGAGGCAAGAAAGGTGTGAAGGATTTTTTTTTTTTTCAAAATTCAGTTTTTTTATTTTTTGATGTCTACAGGTGTTCCATATCTATTTCAGCTGTCTGTTTCTAAGTCTTAATGAGAGAACAAGAAACGTGGTACACAGCTCCAGATAAGACCATTTTTAGTTCATTCTGTCACCCTCAAGCTTAATAAGTAATGTTCCACTTTAACAGATGTGCTTGAAAGTGGAGTTGCTATCGTTTATTGTTATAACTCCTGAAAAGTATCACAGAGAATTTGAATTCTAATTTCAGTTTCATAAAGACTTTACATTAAAATTCACATTTGGGCTTTGATATGAAAGGATTAGTACAACTGTAGATGGAAAAACAGCATGTAGAATTCTCTCTTCCATATATCCTGTGGAATTGTATTTTAATATCTACTTTACCTGCCTTGTGTCAGCCATTGCTAGAGGTGAGGCTGTGTGTTAGGATTTGGGGAAAGGAATCATTTATCTGTGCATTTCATTTGTGGTGTTAATTGAAAGTTAATGTGCTGTTACAGCAACCAGCTCACAATTAAGTGTCTTCAGATTTTGAGAGGTCTCTGGGAAAATGTGGGGTTTTTTCCTAGTCATCCAATTAACATACCAGCCTGCCTGGGTGCTGGGAGGACATGGGAGGGGACCATGATTGATTTGTTAATTACTTGGAGATTGGCAGTCCCTCTAGTTAGTTAAAAAGAAAAATTGGCTGCATGATCCCGATAGCAGAAGGTAAGGATTGTGTCATGAGCTTTTGAGAGCTAACCTTGCACGGGTTTGTAGAATTCAAAGACCCTGAAAGCTGACATGTTGGCTGTGTTGTCGAAATCAGTGCCTTTCAGCCTTGAGAAATCTTCCCATGTAGTTTTCGCCAGCAAGCAAAGATAAGAATCATTTTGTCACTTCATTCTCCCACAAAAAAGAAAATATTAAAAAAAAAAAAAAAAAAAAAAAAAAGGCAGCATTTGGAAAATTGACTTGAATTTTGTTTATTGGATAATGGCAGGTTGATGCTTATGCAAGGCTGGGGCTTCAGTGTGTAGAGCGCACGCTCGCTGCACGAGTGAGGCTGAGTTCATAGTTCCCCTCTGACAATTTCTCCAGTCATTGATCTGTGCAACTTTCACAACTCCGGGCAGCCTTTCACTGCTCTGTCTCACATCTTCTACCCATGCCCTTCCCTTGTGCAATGTTTTGAGAAATTCCGAGTCGTAAACATACTGACTGTCCTCTCTTACCTTCTCAGTGTGACTGAGCCAGGCTTTGTGCTGAATCTGCTGTACACAGGGCAAAAGGTGGGCTGCAAATGTCAATACGTGGGATTTAAACTGGATGGCAATAACTTTGAGTCAGAAAGCTCGGGGTGCAGAACAGATTTGGAGAAACTTTGAGCGGTCAAGGAGACAGCAGTCGTACATGATGACTCCTATCCTGATTTCTTTGGAGCGGATGAGATGCCAAAGAAAGTGAAGATCAGTTTTATACACAGATTGATTAAACAGAACATAGCTTATTGTACACCTGTTTTTAATATTTTTAATTTTTCAACTTCTGTGGCCATGAATACTGCTGAGCAGTCGTGTGATTTTTGCCTCTTTTTCTTCAGGTGGTGAAAGTATTTTTCAGATTAAAATTTCCTCACTTTTAAATTAAATTTTTGACTTGTGTATCATTTGTTCTGAAAACTCCTGTCCAGTTTAAGGTATATGACTGAACTCACCAGCACCTCAGAAAAATGTTTGTAGGCATCTCTGTGGCTGTTTTCCCCTTTCATTCAGATTTAGGGAGCTGGAGAAGTACATTGCCCGTATTTTACTGAGATTTAATAAGATGGTCAGACTACTTTGCCTGCAAATTGTTCATCCAAGATAACGAGTTCTTAGTAATTGTAGCATAAACGGACACACTTTTATGGTGAAGGTTAGAGGGCTAAATTTTCTTTTAAATCTCTCCTGTTAGGAATGTAAGTTCAGATGGAGCAGAAGCACGCAGAAGACTGAGAGAGTGTGATGGCTTGGTGGATGCCCTCCTTCATGCTCTACAGTCTGCGGTTGGCAAGAAGGATACAGACAATAAGGTGAAAATGAGTATTAAAACTTAATGGATGTTTCCATTAATTTAGGCTGAAGTGTTGCACTGGGATCTGAATGCTATGTGGTAGTATCAGAACAGGATTATGCTTGCCTTACAAAATAATTATCTTCCTCTCATCTCTGTCGTAATGTCCATGGTACTACTGATGGAGTATCAGCGTGATTCTGCTATGTTACCTTGTGTGCCTGATGAGGTGAGCAAAGGCAAGAGGTTGTGATAGGTGGGCAGAGTAGTCCTTTGTTATTGTCAGTGACATTATTGCTGTTGTTCTGCATTACTTAATTGACGTTTATAAGTGCAGTCTCCAAATCAGAATTGAGTCCCATTGTATTGTGCTGTGCACAATACCAGCAAAGGAGTTAGTTCCCATTTTAAAGAGTTTATCCAGCACCACCTCTAAAGACAGTAATGCTTAGACATTAAGATATGTCTTCAAGCCTGCAACACTTTTTTGTGGCTTTTTTTTTAGGTGCAGATTTTAATGCATCTGTTTTTTCATCATCTTATCCTGTGGCACTTAAAAGTGTTATTTATGTGCATAAGGAATATCATAAGTGTAACCTGTTTAAAAAAGAGGGAGCATACTGTTGCTTTATCACACCAGTAAGGCTTGTAAAGCATTGTTATTTTATTCTTTCTGAGTACTGCTGTGTGATGGACTGTGCAAGGGAATTCTAAAGCCCTGTCACTTAATCAGATAATTTTGGAAGCGGATTTTGTAACCACGTGGTGGTTTCCATTGCAACCTACAGAGCATTGCTCTTGTCAGAACCTGACATGCTATGGATCAGCTATTACTGCAGGACGGTGTGTGTTCTCTTTGAAATCCTCACAAGGCCTAGGTTTTGACCCACAGAAAATTTAATAAAATTGGCCCCTTGGGGATTGTAAAGGCCGGAAGAGTGGGAGAGGCTTGCATTAAAATAAGATCCTTATATGATCATTTTCTGCTGTGTGTCTGATCTTTTGGTGAGTTGTATTCTTTATTTAAGATTAGGTGGTATTTTTGATTAGAGAGTTTTCAGTTTGAGTGGGTACTATTTATGAAGTGCTTCGCTTCTGGAAGAATAAAAATGGTTTTAGAACAAGAATGAAGCTTAATTTAAGGGGTCCTGACTAAACCTTCCTTGAAAGCTAAATTCTTTTCCTGGGACAGGTGGGCTTTTTTCAGTTCCCCCAAACCATCCACTATGTAATAGAACAGTTTGCAAATAAGAGGGTGCAATACTCCTTATGACATAAATTTCTCTGTAACAGTCCGTGGAGAACTGCGTGTGCATCATGCGGAACCTGTCCTATCACGTCCACAAAGAGGTCCCCGGAGCTGATAAGTACCAAGAACTGGATGCCAGTCAGACTACAAGCACGGGAGGCTCTCAGAAGAAGAAGAAAGACGATGCTGGTTGTTTTGGTGGAAAAAAAGCTAAAGGTATGTTTTGCAGAGAGCTCAGAACTGGAAATGGATTTGGGGATAAATTTTGCTGTGTAGGCCTGCTCTTGCAAGTACATTCATCGTGCTGGTGTAGAATGATGCGGTTTGTGAAGGTATGTGTTTGTAGTGTCGTGGCATGTGTTCATCACCCTTGTTGCATTGCTACTAGATATTTGGGAATTTTTCCATGATTGCTGTGGTTTTGTTTGGCTTCAAATAGGAGTGGTGCATGTTGACAGGTGGCACTGCTGTTGGACAAAGGTGGATCTGCTCTGCCTCTCCTCTGCGTTGCTGTGTTCTTGCATCTGTCAAATGTATGCTTAAGTCTGTTTGCTTGGCTGTATAGCATGTGTCCCAGCCTCTGGAAGCCAGGCCAGTGCGTGTTCGTCCCTGTGCATGGTAGTCCTGTCTGTGTGTCTTCCATGCCTCCAGTTTCACGTTTGAAAACAAACTAAAAGCCTGCCCTCCCACTCACAACCAAAACATGACACCTCCCAATTCTATCACTCTCTCAGTAATTTAAATTACAAGCATGATTTTGTAGCTTTTAATTGTCAGTCACTTTTAGACCTGTTCTCTCCTCTGGGGCATGAGTGTTGCAAATGAGTTTCATTACAAGAGAGGATTAAAAGTCTCAGTAACCCCCCCTTCTATCTTTCCTTTAGAATGAGACACTCAAATTATATCCATTTTCTTTGTTGGTTTAGAGAAATTACTATTCTAGACTGAATACAGAGACAATTAACTCCATTTTCTGTCTAGGCTCCATTCTCCTCATTGAAGTGTACTTGCATCCTGGCTTACTGTTTATAGCCAAGTCTAAGGAAGGTTTTTTGTCCTTAAGAGCCAATATGGAATTATTTGAACTTGATGGACTGTGTGCCACACCGTACTCTTCCTTTGATCTGACCTGTACATGTTATTAAAATGTTACATGTTTCCATATGTACTAGGGAAGTCACCACAGTGTGAACTTGCTTTTGCAGACTAGTCTGTCATCAACTAGATTTAAACTGTGGTTGTTTAAGTAAAAATTGATAGGAATCTTTTAATGACTGGGGAAGAACTGAAGAAAGAATTTTACCTGCCTGGCCAGCCTGTTCTCACAGTGAATGAAGCTTCAGCGTGATATCCTTTGGAAACCTTGAACATGTGCTGACTCGAGCCCGTTCCCTGCCACTTGCAGTCCCTGTTGTTTTGCTGCTTGAGAGCAACACAGTCAGTGAAAACATTTTTAGACATAAAAGCTCTGAGTGTGCACTGTGGGAGGAGGGGAGCGTGCTGATTGAGAACTGTCATCATCCTCTTTATGACAGTGGAAAGAGAGTGCTCTCAGGTGGCTGTCCTTTGTCGAGTGTCTGCCTGTTTCTGTTGGGGCTGACCTATATCTGCCTTCTGTGTCTGTACGCCCTGATAGTTTCTGTTTATCAGCCAAAGCATCTGATCATGTCTTTTCGGACAAATTGGTCTCAAAATCATCTGACACTGACGATGAACCCACAGATTTCAGCGAGCGATGCAGGCGCTCAGTGACAGCTTGGGTTTGTCTCTGTATGTTCAGGCGGA